AGGTTAGGTAAGGTTCGTCAGGAAACAGGACAAATGTTTCCTGACGCGGGTCTTAGTCAGATGATGACCCGCCTTTGGAGCTTTTGGTCATCTGACCGAGGCCTTCCGCTGGCTTACCGGTCCACCCCTTTAAAAATTATGGTCATTTATAACCATTGTTATATGTAAAATTAAACATCACAGGTTTCTTTCTCCTGTGTGCGGGGTAACTGGGTATGGATATTGTCCAGCATTGTTGTATGGCTTCAATAACCACAGCAGCTTCAAAATATTCCGTCCAGCAGGGCTGCAGATATTAAGAGAAGTGGAGAGAGGGAAAAACAAGGCAGACAAGGAGAGAGGGAAGAGTATGTCGTGACAGGTGCACTACGAGTGGCCATGACCTTGGTGTTGAAAGGCAACACAGGAAGACACATTGCCACATCCTTCCATCAAAGGTCAGCTAGCAAGAGGCAGGACACCAGGCGTGGAAAGTGGTATGGCTGAAGGGAGGTCACGTTCACCACGGACGACCTCCTACGACAAACTCGTAACTTCCTCACCTACCAGTGAAATTATTACCCCTCTAACTTCCCACTACTCACATAACTTTCCCACACTAGATCACTCTCTCATGACAGAGTGCAGTGATCTGGATAGTGACGACCATTTACCTTGAGAGTGAGGTAATGTGGATGAAGTGATCATTCCTCACCTAAGCTTTGAATTATTATTATTATAATCAAGGGGGAAGCGCTAAACCCGGAGGATTATACAGCACCTAAGCTTTGAAGAAGCAGAACAATCATCACCACCAACCACCAGCAGCAGCATCACCACTACCACCAGCAGCAGCATCACCACTACCACCAGCAGCAGCATCACCACTACCAGCAGCAGCAGCATCACCACTACCACCAGCAGCAACATCACCACTACCACCAGCAGCAGCATCACCACTACCAGCAGCAGCGGCATCACCACTACCACCAGCAGCGGCATCACCACTACCACCAGCAGCAGTATCACCACTACCACCAGCAGCAGCATCACCACTACCACCAGCAGCAGCATCACCACTACCACCACCAGCAGCGGCATCACCACTACCAGCAGCATCACCACTACCACCAGCAGCGGCATCACACTACCACCAGCAGCAGCATCACCACTACCACCACCAGCAGCGGCATCACCACTACCAGCAGCAGCATCACCACTACCAGCAGCAGCAGCATCACCACTACCACCAGCAGCAGCATCACCACTACCACCAGCAGCACATCACCACTACCAGCAGCAGCAGCATCACCACTACCAGCAGCAGCAGCATCACCACTACAGCAGCAGCAGCATCACCACTACCACACCAGCAGCATCACCACTACCAGCAGCAGCGGCATCACCACTACCATACCACCAGCAGCGGCATCACCACTACCACCAGCAGCGGCATCACCACTACCACCACCAGCAGCATCACCACTACCACCAGCAGCAGCATCACCACTACCAGCAGCAGCGGCATCACCACTACCACCAGCAGCGGCATCACCACTACCACCAGCAGCGGTATCACCACTACCACCAGCAGCGGCATCACCACTACCACCAGCAGCAGCATCACCACTACCACCAGCAGCAGCATCACCACTAACACCACCAGCAGCGGCATCACCACTACCAGCAGCATCACCACTACCACCAGCAGCGGCATCACCACTACCACCAGCAGCAGCATCACCACTACCACCACCAGCAGCGGCATCACCACTACCAGCAGCAGCATCACCACTACCAGCAGCAGCAGCATCACCACTACCACCAGCAGCAGCATCACCACTACCACCAGCAGCAGCATCACCACTACCACCAGCAGCATCATCACCACTACCAGCAGCAGCAGCATCACCACTACCACCACCAGCAGCATCACCACTACCACCAGCAGCAGCATCACCACTACCAGCAGCAGCAGCATCACCACTACCACCAGCAGCAGCATCACCACTACCAGCAGCAGCAGCATCACCACTACCAGCAGCAGCGGCATCACCACTACCAGCAGCAGCGGCATCACCACTACCACCACCACCAGCATCACCACTACCAGCAGCAGCAGCATCACCACTACCAGCAGCAGCGGCATCACCACTACCACCAGCAGCGGCATCACCACTACCACCAGCAGCAGTATCACCACTACCACCAGCAGCAGCATCACCACTACCACCAGCAGCAGCATCACCACTACCACCACCAGCAGCGGCATCACCACTACCAGCAGCATCACCACTACCACCAGCAGCGGCATCACCACTACCACCAGCAGCAGCATCACCACTACCACCACCAGCAACGGCATCACCACTACCAGCAGCAGCATCACCACTACCAGCAGCAGCAGCATCACCACTACCACCAGCAGCAGCATCACCACTACCACCAGCATCATCACCACTACCAGCAGCAGCAGCATCACCACTACCACCAGCAGCAGCATCACCACTACCAGCAGCAGCAGCATCACCACTACCAGCAGCAGCAGCATCACCACTACCACCAGCAGCAGC